AAAATATTGATAAAACCTCTATTTTCTTACAGACAGTAAGAGAGAGTATGCAAGGTAAAGTCAAATAATAGACAGGAAAAGGAGAATGAAATTGCATACAAACAAACAAACCTAATAAATTTGTCATGGAAAACCTACCAGGCTAGGCCTAAAACTTAATTCCTAAACTGTGATGAATCTAAAAAGGAGTGTGTGTGGAGGAAAATTCTTATTTTACTTGGCCATCAAGAACATTGAAGCTTGGACCAACACTATTTTGCTAGACTAAGATACATGCTGCTCTCCTAAAATTGTCAATAATTGTTTTAATCACTTTCGCCCACCTATCTTTTTGTTGGTGTGGTTTTGTTTTTATTGTTTGTATTTTTAATCCAAAGCAAACAGGTAAACGCTGCTAATCTCTTAATATTGTCAGGACTGTAACTCAATTTCTGCATCTCTTTGTGCCCAATACTGATTGCCACACATTGAACTGGACAAACTGATCTTGAGAAAATGTATGTTGTATTGAAACATGAATATAAACTCAGAAAAGTTTTTCTGGAAGGTTGACTGTTGCCTGTAGAACCACTTTTTGTTTTATGAAGTCTTCCTACTATAAATAAACTATAAATTCTTCTTTGGTAGCTTTTGTTATGGGCTGTAGCTAAGAGAAGGAGGTTTTTGTCACAACCGGTGCTTTATTATGTGAACTGTTTGAGGTTAGGTTTCTGGGAAGTTCAGTTCCTAGCTTTAAGAACCTTTATGTATGTCAGAACAGGTGTATTCTTAATTCATTTAAAAATCAGGATATGTGTTTTCTTTATCAATAAATGTGACCAGTCCCAGTCCAAGTTGAGTGATGAGGAAAACCCCTTGCATTAATATGCGCTTAGAAGTGCATTCAAGGTCAGACCTCCTGCATTCTGGCCCCTTAAAACCTCATGGCTTCTGTAGAATAAAAGGTGTACTCAGCTTTCTTTAACACTGTACAACTGATCCAAACTTGCTGAAGTAGTACACTCAAAGTCCTTGAAGCAGTGCTAACAGGAGTAATTTTCCAAGTTAAGAAGTTTTGTGGTGTGGTTTTGGAGTGAAAGAGGTGCTCGTAGAACTAGAGACAGGATAGCAGAGATGTGACAAGTTAGTGGCGGGAGGAACTGGTACGGTTTTAACTCGGAACAGGGTGGAGTTTTTTTTAGTCATGAGTTTTTAGCAGTGTGACCGAAAGGGCAGGTCACACAAAGAAGTTCATTAGGTTCTAAGCAGAGAGAAATGGGGAACAGGACTGAGGAACTGGATTTGAAGTTGAATAAAGGGTTAATACTGCAAATCAGACATGCTTGAGTGTGCAGAGCTGGAAGAATTTGTGCTGATAAGCAACATGCAGCTCAGATATGCCTTGGGCAATATTTGACTTTGTGGAAACAGTTTTTACCTTTTTTAAAGGAACAGTGTGATAAATATCTGTTGATTTTATTAAAAAAAGTTTGCTCTAAGTGCCATCAGTATCATCAAATAGCTTTGATAAAGCTAAGTATTGTCAGAAAAAATGTGGATATCTGCATGTGAGTTTGTAGTATTTCCAGGGAAGTCAAGGTATTCTTAAAAGCAAAGCTTTCATGCAAAATACTTGTGCATCAAAATATCTTAATCCAAAAGAAAAGTTAATAAGGGAGCAAGAGAAAAAAAGTTAAGGACTGTTATATTAACACAGAAGTTCACATACCTTCTGTTTTCTATTTCTCTTGTAAGAGAATTAGACTGAAATGTATAACCAGTGTTTTAGTAGCTGTTTATTAATATGACACTCATGGACATCTGAAACAAATTTGTGCAAATAGTTCACCTATACATTAGCAAATTCTATCAATTTTAGTTTTTAACTTCTGTTGATTGTCCGAGTTCTTTACTCATCACTTGCTCAGCAGTATGCCTTCTGCTAAGAATATTGATCTTGAGCCTATGTTGCTTTTACAAGAAAATGTAATTTATGACTTCATATTCAGTGCAGTACAAACCTGAATTCTTCTGTCTTATGGTATTTTACACTAATTGAACGCTCCCATGGCACAAGTATAAATGACTACATGATATGCAAGGAAACACATTTTAAAGACTTGGGATTTGGCCTATCAAACTGTTCACTGGACAGCCACCGTTTTGTAAACCCTATGAAAACTGCGAGTTTTCTTTGCTTAGTTGATACTTGAAAACGTATCACTAGAGTTTGGCTAGAACAACTTTGATTTCAGGGCATAAACTGGAAGAGAGAAGGACATCAGTGTTCACCAGTAAGCATAATACTTCATGTGACTAGAGATTTAAAAAAAATAATGTTTGTAAAAGTCAAATTTTAAAGCTGAGATCAATAACATCTCCCAGGATTTTGTGAGATGCCCACAAAGAGCTTTAAAATGAACTAAGTGTGATTTAGCCTAATAAACTGCTGACTTCAATTAATTTTCTCTTAGACTCCTCTTCCTCTGCCTTTGGTGTTCTGGCTGAGGTTGTATGGCAGGACCTTGATAGTGTGCCACACCAGTCTTTTCAGCCCTTTTTCTCAGTAGCTGAGCCCTTTGTCTCGTGTACTTGTCAGAAAGAAAGACCATTCCTTCAGTTCTGTGTCACTTAAGGCTTTTAGTGGGAACAACATATATAGCTCTTGTCTGTGTCCCTGCTTTTGGCTGCTACCATGCTAGATTTAGTAATGGTTTGTATTACAGTTTTTTAAACGTATCATAAAACCTGATGCTGTGTTCTGTTTCTGTCCTGTCGTTTTTCCTGAATTATTACAGGAGCTGCTTTTCATGTGTTTGCATCGTTCCTAGATTATTTCCTTTAGCTGGTTATTACCTACTGCCCTGCATTTCCTACCTCCTCTCACAAGATTTCAGCTTTACTATCATGTCTCTTGTCTGATCTCTTCCAACTGCACTGTTCTGGCAGCTGTTTGGTTTTAAATATCTTTGCTAAGGATGTGCTAAGGACTCTGTTGTGTCGCCTTTCTTCAGGACAAATAAGAGCACACCTTCTCTGAAAGGTGTATTTTGTTTACTGGCTGCGAAGGAGCTGCTTTGAAGTATCTCTTCAATGGTATTATTGCTGTTTGGACAACAAGTAGCTGACATACATACAATATGTTGAAAAGAATAATTAAAGTTCTTAAGTGACGCTAGGCAATGGTGCATCTGAAGGGCTTAACATTCGTTTCTTGTTCGCTTATGCTTGGGAATAACATTTTGATTTATACAAACGTTTTTGTTGCTCATTGTCAGCTGTCTGCCCATCATCTGTGTGCTGTTGGTAGCTAAAACTGTCCTCAGTAAGTTTAAGGGAATCTCAGTTTTCAGAGGAGTCACTTCTTGGGCACAAGTCAACTTCGTAGCCTTCCTACCTGAAAACAGTTAGAAGCAGGTGACAGCAATCTTGGATTTTCTCCTGAAAACTGAAAGGGAAGGGAGGTTGACGAAGATGCTTCAGAAACATTTGTACGGGCTTTCTGGGAAAATGAAGGAGAGAAGAGCTATCCCAGTATCCAGGGAATGACTACTGGAGGCTGTTGTATACTCTAGTTAATTTGGGAGTTTTGATACAGGTGACTGGTGTGCGTGGGAATTGCTTGGGCTAAGGTAGGCACTGCCAGCTCAGTGTAGGGCTCTTTGATGTTAAGATAAAAAGATAAAGATGTGCTAAAGATATTGCTTATCTGTGTCTGGTTTTAGCAATCCATTCTTTCACATAAGTTGACTCAAGTGAGACATACTTGTTGGGTCTCCTGAAAAGTCTAAACAGGACAAATGTGATTGTGTCAAATTATTTATGGTCAGATACTTATTGTGGGTTTGTTTTTTGTTTGTTTTTCATTTTGAAGGTTATCATTGGAAATACTCTAGAAGTATGTTTGGCACTTATGAACGTGGGAATTTGAACAGTAAGCAATGTGATAGAAGGCTTGAGAGGTGACTGAGAAAGCAGTTTTCTCAGGGCTTTTGTTTGAAGCAGGACAAGTACAGAACCCAGCTATCAAGCAGAGCTGCTTTTGAAAGGAACAGGCATCAAGTCTAAAAGCAACCAAAGTAGAACTTTTTTTAATAAGGAGGATTTTAGGATGTTTTCTAAGTACTGGTTTTTGAACATACACTGAAATAGTTTCCTGGAAATGAAGTTCATAAGAATCTCTATTGAATTAACTAATGACCACTGTTCAATTTTTGCCAGAGTGGCTGAAATCTAATCTGTTATATGGTGGGGTTTGTGGGTTTTTTTGTTGTTTTTTTTTGTTTTGTTTGTTTTGTTTTTTTGTTTTTTTGTTTTTTTTTCCAAGAGTTGTTCTCCCTCTTTCTCAGCTTGCAACTCTGCCTCCACCTTTCTTCTGTGCCTTTTTTTCTAGGAGATTCTATTGAATGGTGAGGGAATAATGCTTTGCTGTCCTGGGCCTCTTTTTTTTTTTTTCTTCATCCCTGACCCACCACCTGTTCTTCCACCCCTATTACCTCCTTCTATTGCCTCATCCTTATAGGAACTGCAGATCTTTATTGACACCCTGTTCCTGTGCTACCTCTGGTAGTTAGCTGCAGAGAATGAGCAGCACTGCTGGTTGCAGGAAATAGGGAAGGCATGGTACATATTCCACCAACCAAAATTAGGAAGATGATGACTGTGACATAGGCCCATGGGAGCTAAGCCAGGTTGTGTGGGGTAGCACATGATTTCTGTGGCTGATATTTCAGTATTGTGCTAGTATTGGTTCCTTGTAATTCTGGTCTTGTTTGTTAATGTCTCAGTTTAAAATAGTGGCACATCACTGCTTTGCATATTTAAGTTATTAGCAGAAAAAGTGTTTGTGTGATGTGGGCAGCAGTTAGAAAATGTTTCAATGCCTCATCAACTCTTTTGCAGCAATAAGCATTTTGTAGCTTCCCTTTTTGGATGTTGATTTAATTGCATTAAGCTTGTTTTTTCTTGCATTTCATGTTTCTTAATCATTGTGACTTTTTTTCTGTTTTCAGGTGCTGACTATGAAGGTATCAGTACAGGCTGTGGCAGTGTGGGGGAAAATAGCTCCCTCTCATAGCATCACTGCTATTATGATTACAGATGACCAGCAGACTATAGTTACAGGAAGTCAAGAAGGGCAAATATGTCTCTGGGATCTTTCATCAGAATTAAAGGTTTGTGTCTGCTTTGTTACAGCCTGACAAATAGACACAGAGGAGTTTTATCTTTTATTAAGAATGGGATTATCCAGATTCGCACTTACTTAGATTAAGTTTTAAAGATAATGTGCTATTTGTTATAGGTAACTCATGAAGCAAAACCTCTTGATATGCCTAAATAAGCAATCAGTTATTTGTGGACTTTGGGAAAATTTTCATATATTATTGTGACTTGTGGATTGTAATTTGAGATTGTGTACTGTGAGTCATGACAACAAGTTAACATATATGAGTGCCACCATTCCTATTATGTCAAGTTTTTTTTTAATCAGTTGCTGAGCATGGCCTGTCATCCAGTGAAAAAAATACCTATTTAGAAAACCAGAGCTTTCTACCAGGTTTAGCAATGGAAATGTTTGTAGAAAGATGGAACAAGTAATATGAAATATGTATTTGTGGTTTAATTAAGATGCAAACCTTCTAGCACATCATTGGTATTGCTTTGACTATTTTATATTTATTTTCCTGAGAATGGAAAAGAGTCAAAGGAAGTCCAGTTTTTTATTCTGTGTTCCTAGAACTACGGTTCTATTTTTTTTGCATTTGGCTGCACCATTTGTGCTCATAAGTATACTGAAACTTTAGTTTGCACTTTTATGGGGCTACCTTTTTTTATTAAGATCTTTGCACACAGTGAAGCTAGTCAAAAGGATTACTAGACATGTATGAAACTCATGCTTAAGAGCTTTGCTATATCAGTTGTCTGCTTCACTCTGCCACTTTTGCTGCATGCTGTAGGGTGAAGACCAGAGATATTCTGCCTATTGCTTGTTTTGCAATACTTGCTGCTCCATAAATTCTTCAGGAAGTATGATTTTTAGACCACAGTGAACACAGACTGAACTTTATACAAACTTCATAATCCATCCATATCTTTGTACATTCCAGAAATATGACTGAAAAACACAATAATATAAAGAAGATTGACATTTACTTATTAATAACAACATCTACAAGTAGTATTCTCTTGCTTTTATATCTTCTTAGATTATATGGAAAGTATTATGTTAAACCATTGTATTATTGTCCTAGATTTCATCTAAAGAGATGCTCTTCGGCCATACTGCTTCTGTAACTTGTTTGGCAAAAGCAAGAGAGTTTGAGAAACAACCATATGTAGTAAGTGCTACTGAAAATGGGTAGGTAACTGAATATTCAATTATTCATTTCTTAAATGAAGTGTATGGCAGGTGTAGGTCAGATACTGCATTTGACAGAAGGTTTTTAATCCACTTCTTCCATGATATGGAAAGGCTATCAGCTACTTAGGATAATGACTGTTGCCTATATACAATAGTCTAAGAGCTCATCTCTTGGATGACAAAAGGGTTTGGCAGATTCAAATATCCAGTTAGTAGTCAGGAAAATGAATTGTTCAGAGAGTTAGCTAGGCACCATTCAAATGGAGAATAACTGTCTCTTGGAGGGAAGCAGCAGATTCAGTAATGTTTTAATACCATGGTGCTTTTTCTATTCCTTCCCAACTTCACTCTTGAGAATTAAATAAGAGGTTAATTTACTCTGATCCAGGTTATGCTTGTTCAGTGAGTACATATAGAAGCATGTAAACAACTGCCCTTGAATAAAAGGCATACATATTCCTTGTCTTTGCTTCAATCTGACTTGCTATTTTGGAATATATTCTTTTTAAGAGGCTGATCTTGCAGCTTTTTTCCAATGTGTTTGTTGTGACTTGGCTCATGACTTCAGGCAAACAAATTTCTGCAGTTCTGCTGGGCTAGCATGCAAGATTTTTTCCCCCTCTCTGAATATTTGATTATCTTTTCAGCTGGGTTCTGAAGCCCATCTGCTCAAGATTACAGCTGTTGAAAGTAGTCAGGGCTTGCTTCTCACTTCTTTAAGGTCTTTCCTTAAAAAATTTTGTCTTGCTGCTCAATGATGTTCTCTTATTTTGGGTTCATCTTTTCCAATTAATAGCTCTGTTAAAACCTACTCCCATGAAGAGTTCCTGTCAATTGCCCTTCTTCAAACTATACCTTTTAGCATCTTAAGGCTACTACGTTCTCATTGAGGAGCTTATCTTTTCCAGCTGCTAGGTTCTTGGCCTGATTCTCTCAACCATGAGTATACAAGAAAGGGATAGCTTGAACAAACTGATTCAGGCTTCTTAGTCTTCAAAGGTTAGACTGCCCCACTGGACAGACAGTGTTAAACAGTTCTGGTTGTTATGTGCAGAAAGGAGGATGAGAAGTTTACAGAACTAGTTTTGCACTGGCCTACTACAATTCTACTCAAGGGCTCAGAGGTAAAACTATTTATCACCTTAATTTTGAAATTCTGTTACTGCAATACTGTTTCCAGATCATACTGGGAGAAAAGATACTGTATTTCCAAAAAGCTCTAGTGAAAAGTGTTAAGAAACAAATGGTATTTTTGCTATAGATACAGCACACAGGGATCTTCACTTCCAAAAGGTTCTGCCTCTGAAGGGATCATCGGGCTTGCTTGGAATGTGTGCATGTAGGACTGAATAGTCTTCTGGCCCCTTTAAATGTTTGCTTTTACCCAATTACTGCTGACTTTTCAGCTGTATTACATAAGGGCAAAGCATTCATCACTGATCCCTGGAAGGTTGTAATGTGAATTTGAGGTAATTACAAATAGGTAGCCTCATCTTGAAGTGAGGCAGGGTTTGTTGACCTGCATTTTCTGGCTTGTGAATCATTCACTTTTGCCATTTTCAAGCTTACATTTCCTTGTATTGAAGGTGGAAGAAATTGTATAAGTGATGATAATCTCTCCTGATCCCGCTTAAAAATCTCAAGTTTCTGTATAACTGACTTGTCTGTCCCAGAAGGATGAGTACTGAATTGAGTATTTCTGTACTTTTTACACAGAAATCTATAAATCAATCCATTGTGATTCAGAAGGTCTCACTGATGTTGTATGCATGCACTTAGCATATGCTATAGAACACATTTATCAACATATGGTGTCACTCATTCCTTGTAAATTAACACAGTTAATTAAGTACAACGTGCTAAATTCTTATTCTGGTCTCATTTGTGCATGTTTGCATCACAGTAATATAACTAAAGCAATAAAGTTAATTGTTCTGATATAAATGAGAAATTCACTGCCTTGAAATTTTATTAAAGAGCATAAGCATTCTGTTTCAGTTATGAATTTTGGCCTACTAAAGCTGATGTTACACTACAGATATGCTACATAGGTTTTACTGCTTTTGCTCAGCTGAAGAATGTAAGTTAAGTAATATTTTTAGAGTATCATAAAATGTGAAAGTGTGTGGATTAAAATGTAAATCACTAAGTAGAATTTCTAATACAATATTTTTTTTTCCCCAATGTGTTCTTTAAGTCCTCATACATAGAATGTAATTTCAGAAATCATAAAATGATTTTCAGCTCTGAAAATAATACTTGCTGTTCAGATAAAATCTAAAAGCATCGAAGTTTAACATTGCTGAACCATGACAACATACCTCATGCAACCTTATTTACAACATTTAATTTGATTGTTTCTGTTGTACCCTAGTCCCATAGCATATTGAATAATGCCTAGATGAGGAAGACTTGCTGAGGTGTCTTTCTCAAACAGTAACTTTAACGTAACTAAGTATAGCTAGAATGTTGCACAGGCATTTGGGTTGTCAAGAGGCGAGTGCTGCTGTATCGCTAACAGATTTCAGGAGTAGCCTCATGGTGGCACTGTTTCTTTTTAACAGAAGTTGCGGCTCCTCTCGGGAACCGGTCTAATGCTGCAGAAGATGCATTATGTCTTTCAAGACGTGTGGTTTAAGTCCAGTGAAATGAATCATTTTCAGGAGGATATAGTTCCAACGACAGATAGTTACAGTGACATGTTGACGAGCTGTAACGGCAGTATACCTACAATTTGTTGTAGACTGGAGTTGGCCTTAAAGTCAAGTTTGTTGCAAGGCAGCAGGGTGTAATTACCAAAACAAAAAGAAACAGATACTGTATGTCATCCCTTACTAATGACTACATTTTCTTACCCAGTAATCTGTAACAAAAAGCCACATAAAGGACCAGACTGCACTTAAGTACAGCACTACAGAAAAACTTGGTGGCACAAAATTATTCCAGACAATTGAGTAGAAATGACAGAGAATAATATGAAGTTATCTTTGGCAGGGAGATGTGTGTTTGGAATGTCACTAGTGGACAGTGCATTGAGAACACAAAGCTTCCTTATAGGCATACAGCAATCCATGTAAGTATAGCAACTTTTCATGGACTCTCTCTGTTCATTACAAGAGCAGTTTTGCTTTATCAATGTGATATTTTTCAGAAACATACAATTTTAAGTGTACAGCTCAAAAGATACTTAGTAGGAGAAAATGGTTGCAATGTAAGTAGTTCTATATCTGTTACATTTCCTTTTTTGACTTTCTCCTAAGAAAAGAACTATGTTCCTCTGAACTCCTTAAATCAAACTGATTCTTTTTAAGCTTCAAATATTTGGAATGCAGTATCAATTAACTTACTGTAAAGTTTGGGCATTGGGCAGCAAAGTGAAACTGTCTTAATCTTTACTCTTGTCCTGTGTTAAAATTGCACGGAAACTTCAAATGTTTTGTTGGATTTTGATGGCATATTGTAGAAGTACGAGCAATTTAGCCAAACATTGTGGGGCAGTCTGCTGGAAATCATATTTTTAAATGTTTGAAAGGTTTTGATGCCTAACTGCTGACATCCAGAAGACTGCTCTGCCCCACTTCCAAAAAAATGCTTTCATTCATTGCAGAACTTGGGACAGAACCCTTACTTTCAGAGGCCAAATTGCTTTAAATATTACTTCAGGTAATTTCAAGTGTGTGCTTTGAACTGTATCCAGGTGCACTAAGTACCTAGGTGTTGAACTGGTGAGGCTGTGTTTGAAATATACGTGTGTATATGTTTGAGGAGCCCAGCATATATGGATTTGATTCAGAGAGATGGCTTATTTTTGGATGTATTAGTAGAAGAGCAGTTCAGGGCTTCTAGGTTAATTAAAATGCTGGCCGTCTTCAGTGGGGAAATCTAGGGTAGAACTAAGCCTCCAAATGATGGAAATCTGAGACCTTATGTGACTCAAACTATGGCCAAATTCAGAATTGAAATGTTTTAAAATTTCTAGAAGAAACTGTTTTTCATGACACTCTTTTGGTTGACATGATGAAATCGAGCACGGCTGTTAACAATGAAGGGAAGAGAAAAAGCTTGGGTAAATTACCAAATGAAAGTTATAGAAAATAACTTATTAATGTATTTTCACATATATATGTGTGTATAAATATAAAAAATTAAGAATTTATTCTATAATATTTTTTTGTATATATACTTATATAATCTTTCTACATGTGTGCATACACACACACACAAAATGTGTCAATTATAAGACATGTGGTATGATCCGCTTTGTAGTATTGCTTAGTTAAATTTTGATAGTTAAAGTTATGGCAGAGTTCTGCATCAAAGTAGGCAGACCTGGCCTGGGTGATTATCTGACAATCTACATGTTTGTGGAAATTAGAGGCAGAATCTTCATTCTTACCCTTCAAGTAGGAGTAGCAAATACTTTTAGAAAACTGTTACTGCTCTATTAAAGTGAGCTAAACTTAATTTTGGCTAGATAATGATTTTAGTTCTGTAACTTGGGGAAGATGGCTAATGGAAAATAGGAACACCTAACAAGAAAACTTTTTTAGGAAAAGGAATAGATGTTTCTAGGAGGAGAAACAATTTTCAAATGCAACTTTAAGATATTTATAATGGCTTTTGGGTTGGGGGGGAGAGGGTTTCTTGTAGTGTTTTTTGGGGTTTGTTTTTTTGGTGGTTTTGTTTGTTTGTTTGGGTTTTTTTTGTTTGTTTTTTTTTTGTTTTTGTTTTTTTTGTTTGTTTTGTTTTGTTTTTCCCCCCTGTTCCCTGCAGAGTGATTGCCTGTGGCATAATAGTACCTGAGAGAATAGAATTTCCTACATAATGTTATTGTCTGGAAGGCTTAGTTCACACAGATTTTGATAGTATCACTGTTTCAAATTGTTGCTTTATTTTCAGTTGGTATTTTAGTAGGTTTTAATTAAATGAGCCTGTCTGGTCTAGTAGATTACTTTTGTTCAGTGTAGATGATTCAGCTATAAATGGCAGATGCCAAGTAGTGCAAACTGCATATTTGCCATTTGAAATGAAGTTTAACACTAGGGTCAACTCTTAACCATTTGTGGATCTTAATCAGCGTGGGATTTTCTCAGAGGACTAACTGACAATACAAATATTCCAGTTCAAGCCTCATTTAAGAGGAACAGTAATTACAAGTGGTTCCTACTTCTAAACACTTCTGCCTCTGATCATTCATAATATCTGTGGTAGTACTTATCCTGTTCCCAGTTATTAATGCTGCTTTTGTTTTCAGACTTCAATTACTTAACTGATAAACCAATAATTATCATTTAAGCAGAACATGAATGTACAGAGAACTTCTAGTAAGCTAGGCACAGTTTTGTGAGTCTGATTATTTCATCTGACTACATCGTTGTTTTTCCCTTTAAGGGTAGTATTGACTTGTAAATTCCATTTGAGGTGGCTGCTTATGCATTTGTAGCAATTATGTGTACAATTATGGATAGATTTTACATAAAATGCAAACATACAAAGCACCTAGCAAAAAAGGAATTTTCATAGTCAGTCTGCACTGCTGTAATCTCTGTTCCTTAGTACTTTGCTATGTGTCTCTTCTTTATGTGATTGTTGAGAAAGAATGAACCTTCTGAACACTAAGGGATTTAAAGTCAAGATGAACAGTATCTTTTGGAATGTAAATTCTTCCCAGAAAATAATGGAAAATTAATTATGACAAAAATAATTATCAATCTTCTGCATTTTCACTTGATTTTTTTATGTTTACATCTTTAACTAGAGCTTTATCAAGTATTTGCCTCAGAAATAAGTCCCAAACTGTTTAGCAGTATATAATGAAAAGTAGCAGCTTGATTGCTTCTAAAGCTCCTAATATTTAAGATCTGCTTTCAGTAGAAAGCATCTCTTAAATTATAACAATTTAGTATAGGCTTACAGCTGAATATGTGAAATGCTGTGTCACTAGCAAAATTGAATATGGTCTCACATATGCAGTATATTTTTAGTAATGATAGAAGCGTTGATTATAATTCAAAGTATGACATGCTTAACTGGAAAAATGTGTGCACATTTGTGTAGTTCTGTATGCTGACTCTCTTCTTTCCACTTCTACAGTATTACCATTGCTCATTCCGAATGACAGGTGAAGGCTGGCTTCTTTGTTGTGGAGAATATCAAGATGTTCTTATTATTGATGCTAAGAGTTTGGATATTCTTCACACTTTATCATCATCTCAGTCTTCTGATTGGATAAATTGCATGTGTATTGTACACTCTGCAAGAATTCAAGGTATATGTTCTAGATGTATTTGTAATAAAATGTCTGTATAGATAGAACAATCCTGCCTGATTTAATATCCAATCATGTTTTACAAAGCTGTTCTGTATGTGTTAACTTTTCATTGATAGCACCTAAGAAGGGGTTTTTAACACTCCTAATATTGGTTATGTTTCATATAATGTTTCTCAAAGAGAAAAACAAGCAGCCTCTACACTGGTTGTAAGCAGCTCATTTCTTGGTTTTATGTACAAAATTAATTGTGTAATATCAGGGAAATTAAGGACACAAACCCACTATTCTATGACTTCTATTAAAACGTATCTGATTTGACAAAATAAATATTCGCTATTTGCTTGCATGATCTGTATTTTCATACACTATTAGTTATTTTTGTGGAAGTATTTCATCTAAAATGTCCTTCAGAATGTACATTTTAGTGCTGTATAGAACATCAGTGTCTGTACCAAGGTTTTCTTTTGGTATAAGTCACTGCCTGAACTTGGTTCAGAGTTGACTATCTCACTGTTAACTCTTCACAGAAGACTCGTTGGTTGCAGTGTCAGTAACTGGAGCTCTTAAAGTATGGGACCTGTCTTCGTCTTTGAATAGCATACAGGTCAGTTGGTATGAGGTGTGAAACAGCAATTCAAAAACATGAATATAGTAGTAATCTCAAGTAAAGAATGCCTTGAGGCATAAGAAATAAATTAGAATTTTCTGGACATGTATTAAACAGAAGTGGGTGATTTTTGTAGCAAAATTCTGAAAACATGCGCTTGTATTTTTAAGATTAGTTGGGCTGTTGGACAGCTCTTGCCTTGACAACTGCAGTGTTTTTTGCCCAAGCTTCTTGTCCTTCCATATTCCACAATGCTGAAGTTGTAATGCTTTCCTGCTGTCTTAATGTCACTCCTTTCTCTGAACCCCTTCACTCGGTCCTTTAAACTCAAAGCTCTTCAAAATTGGCCTTAGTACTCCCTCTTCACCCTCCTTGATTTTTTCAAAATGGTCCTTTAGACTTTGTTTTCCTCTGTCTGCCTTTGACAATGCCGTCTTCACTTGGAAAAGACTCTTGCTGTGTCAAGTGCCCTATTTCTCAATCTTCAAACTCGGTTACTCTTTTCTGTGTTAATATTCTCAGCAGCTGTCACTTGACATGCACAAATGTTAGAATTGGAATACAATGTTTTGTGTTTGAATTAGTCTCAGAGCTAGATTCACAAAGCGACTTCAGTATTACAGCGAAGCACTGTGAACCATCAGCAGAAATGGCGAAATATCAACAGTCTTCTCTGAACATCCATAATTACTGCCTTGCTTGACAAACTGAAGAGCATGCCACAGCACTGCTTGTTAATGGGTTCCTCAGAATATGGTTCCTCAGGCTCTGTCAAGTTTGATACCATACTAGTGTTTTTGTGATGCGTTTTTGGTTTATCTGCGATGTTTCTGGGGTGGGGGGAGCTTTTAAACATATTAGGGCAAAAAATACTGTCACGCTATAGAAAATGAGGACTGTAAAAACTGATTGCAGACATCAGAGAGGCATATATGGTATGGTGCCATCATTTTTCTGCCTGGGACTTTCTTCTGTGAAGGGAGGGGTGCAGAGTTAGTAACAATCCACCTACTTCGTATTTTAAAGTGCAGTATTTGAATAAGTATTGTTGTATTTACTTAGAGCTGTAAGGGGTGATAAGAATGGTTTGCAGTTTGATATTCATGATTCCATGAGCAGCATACCTCTTCTTCATGAGCTTTTGATACTGTTGGTATCTTTCAAAGCAGAAAACATCAGTTTTCAGTGATTTAATCTATAATTAATAAAAGTAATTATAATAATTTTGAGCATGATGACCTTGATAGCAAAGTTATTTTCGCTGGTTTGTTTCTATCCTAAAAGTAGAAGCTCAGATATCTAGAATAAATCCTATGGCTTTCTTCCTCTGTGCTGTAAAGGAGAGACAAAGTGTGTGTGAGAAGGAATCAAAATCTCTGGACTGTATAAATTGTCAAGCAGTACGGTTTTGTACATACACAGAAAGGCTCCTTCTTGTTGTGTCTTCCACATGCTGGCAGGTACGTTATTGAGCATTGTACTTTCTTTAAAAGTTTATTAACAGTTTTGAAAAGCTAATGTGATTTTTACATGCAGATACCTGGTTTTCTTCTCAGCTTTAATAATTTGCTAATTGTCAGACACAGTGTGTCATCCCTTCTCTACTATCCTAACTGCCTGGCTGAGACGAAATGTTTATTATTTTGTTAATGTGTGATATGTGTGTTTTTAAAGTTTAATATTGGGTAGAAAAGAGATTACTTTATTAGTGAGTTTTAGAGCGCTGACTGTGACATAGTCGTCCTGTCCACAGTGCATTTCAAAAGGAGACAAAGGTGCACAAAAACTGTTGTAAGTATGGCAGAAATAATCACAGCCTGCAAGTCCTCAGTGACCTGGGGTCTTTGTTCCAACAGGAGCAATAGCCTGAATTCCACTAATAGATGCCAGCAAAACTAGGTGCCCTAGACTGTATGTCTGTCTTATAGCTGTAAGAAAATAAATGCATTGTGTGGCTGCTGAAACTGTTACTACTTTATTTAAAATTTTAATTAAACTGAACTTCATTTTAAAATTACTTTGTTTCTCTTTCCCAGATTTAAAAATAAATGCAACATCTGTTTGATCCAAACACCACTCCTTTTGGGTGGTGGTAGTGGAAATTCCACATACACCTGAATCAACTTTGAATAATACACTTGTAGGGCATCCGTGAAACTTCTCTTGGGATATTTAAAAAGTCTGTACAGAAGCATTTATAAAGAAATGCCATGTATATAATGGAGAGGGGTTTCACAGAAAAATCTGTGTAACATGCATTGCTTCCTGTTAATTTCTATAGTACTTTTTCCACAAGGGGTGCATGTTTCTCATGCTCTCTGTTATGCATTTTAAGCTTAAGGTAATGTTATAGGTACATAAGTCATACCGGATTTTCAACTTCTATGTTTCAATGAATTTACAGCTTTAAAAGATTATGATGATCTTTCTCCTTAATTAAAAATGTATGTAAGCATAGGAGAGATTCATATGTTTAGAGTGGTTCTGTAGTAATGAAAATATAGAACAAATTAGGTAGAAATTACCTAATGAATAGAACTAAGCTATGAATAATTCATAGAAACTCTAGTTCCTCACACTGCTGGAATAAACTATGAAAATGTGGCTATGACTACTTTCTCCATGAGGCCACTAGGAATGCAAGCAGACAGTACCCTAGATTGCCCTAGTCATTTCCTGTTTCAGCTTAAAATGGGAAGGTCAGAGGAAACAAACAAGTCACAACTTTTTACGAGCTCTAGAAATGGAAGAATTTGTGCAAGCAAAGGGCATTATGTTCTTTGCTTTCAATTAATTTGTGAAAAAGAAAAATCTCTGTTGCTCCTAAAGAAGAAAAGAATCTCTTTAAGATGTGTGCTGTGATTATGCCAGCAGATCCTCTTTTAAAGAACATAGAAGCATTTATAGCTTCTATTAGTCTTCAGTGGCATGTTTATGCGCTAAATTCATTACCTACCTCTTTATAAGAAATTAATAGTCCAGTAAATAATAATAAATGCAAAGTAAAAAAATAAACCCCATCCAAACCCTTGTACTATAACAGGAGGCTTCAATGCTGGGGTTTTTGTTTTTTTTTTTTTTTTTATTGTCATTTATGTTAGAAACATAAGGTTGGATTCTGATTTTGCAGTAGTTTGAAGTATGAAAACTGCTTTGGCTTTAAAAGTTAGTCAAACTACAAAGAGTCAGTTTCTACTTATGATGCTTTGCCTCAAACCAGCTTGAATTAAAATGACTGTCCAATGTTTATATTTTATTGGATTTTTGTTTTCTTTTTTTCTGAGCTTAGGTCTATGATTACTGTGATTTTTCCTTGCTTTGTACTGAGTTCTGTAAAAGTGGTCAGTGCTTTACTGGTGGAGAAGTACTAGCAGCTTACAGACTTATCATCTGGACAGAAGATGGTCACAGTTACATCTACCAGCTGCTGAACAGGTGGGCTCAGATGGGAAATTCACACAAAAAGTTCAGGTACAAGATGAACTTTGGGAGGTTTATTATGGAAAATCTCTGCATGTTGCAAATGATCAAAAACCAGAACAAAACCGCTTTGGCACTCAAAGATTTACCCTGAGTTTGGCAGCCCTCAGTCTTTGTTTGACACAGCAGGGGATGTAGGAATAAGATTAGCCATGTAGAACTTGGGCAGCTGGTGCTGTGATTTCAAAAAGTCGCTTGTAATTACTTATTCGGTAACTTTTAATTGAACTTGTGAATCTTGGATGTTGCCGTTCTGCTTTCTAAAATATATTGCTTTCTAAAGCTGCCCTTTTTGTTTTGTTTTGTTTTTTTGGTTTTTTTTCTTTTTTAATTATGCAGTGGGCTTTCTAAAAGCATATATCCTGCCGATGGGAAGGTGCTGAAAGAAACTGTTTATCCTCATTTACTCTGCTTTACTGATGTGAAGGAAAATAAGGTAAATTGACAAATGTTTACAGTAAGCTTCAAAAGTTCAGTTGATACTTGTTTGCAGTTACCTGAATGGTCTCTAAAAAAAACTACATTGACAGATTTTGTTGTTCTATGAGAACACTGAATAAGACTTACTTGTTCCTTTTTTAATTTTTCACTTGCAAACTTGGAGATGCTAATAGCATAGTTTTTCTTAATTCCTAGTGATGTATAGTTTTTCCATAGGGGAAAATATCCTGTATTTTCAGCTATGGATAGGCTAGTTGAAGTAATTTTTTAGTTGTATTGCTAATACTGTTTATGAAATAGTAATTGTTGGAAGATACAGCTTTAATTCCTACCTGCAGTTACATTAGTTTGTGTATTTACATGAGAGGTCTTTAAGCAGTTTCTTAAGGTATGCAAGAGTACCTGACTAGAAACACAGTCGAATATATACTTACATGAGGTTTTCTAGCATTCTTTCTTTCTGTTGACAACTATAGGCTCTTAGAAAGCATTTTTGTTGCATACTCTTGCAAAGCCTGACAGATTTCATTTTCAGTTGAAGGACAATAGCACAGGCCATTCAGCTTTCCCCCCAAATGCTGTGATCTAAACTCAGATAGGATAACTGCTGAAGGATGCCAAAAGGTCAGATACGGTGAGGGAAAAAGAAATAGCCAAAACACATGGCTTAGCAGATAATAGGGTTACAGTGGTGTTAGGAAGCTCATATATGCTTCCCCCAAACCATATGCATTTTTAAAGTAATGTCACATGCCCTTTTCTAATATTTCAGCTTAAATGTTTACCTTATTCCCTGAATAATTTTTATAGCAGATTTGAGACAACAAAACTGCCTGCCGTGATCATTTTGATCTCCATTCTTAAATTATAAACCTAACCACATCACAGTAGACTTACTTGTTGTGTAATTTATTCCCAAACTTCAATGTTGTAAAACATATGGGAATGTTGTTCAAATGTCTTAAAGGAGCAGAGTTAAGCTGTGTCTACACAAAGTAAAGGTGATGTGTGGAACAAAACGGTTTGTGCTGATGACCTTTCATCCATATTATCTACATTAAAGGATCTGCTTGTGGGGGGGGTTTCTCCTCCTGCACACATCTCCCAGTTTAATGCAAAAAGGATCCTGATTTGGTATTCCAAGACTGCTGTACAGCAGAAACCTAAGCATTCACTTCCGAAGTACATGCCTGCTCTAAAACTCAAGCATACAAATGCATGTGTACCTGGAGATTCCTAATTTTCCTAAGTTTTGTGAGAGTTTTGAACAACTAGAAGCTTCCTTTTAGACATTTCATCTGTTCTTAGTAGTCTGATATTTGATAATGAAGCTTATGTAACAGCTAAACATCTTTTTTGAGCCCAATCCTGGTGCTTATGTTGCTGGTTTTTTATATGCTGGTGTTACTATTTATAGACTCTCCATTTATCGACAGTAAACCTAGGGAGCCCCTTCTATTCTGCTTTTCCATTTGGGATGTAAGCTTAGCTGAGGATACTGGCAAAGCAGAGGTGATCTTTGAGAGGCTTGCACCTGGCAGAGTAGACCTGGTCTGAGCAGAACTTTATGATGAGTGAGGGCTTAACCATTATCTGTTTTATATCGCTACAGCTTTTGATGTTAAAAAAAGAAACAACAAACCCTTTTGAATTTGCAATTAAGTACTACATTATTTTATCAGCTCCTTTTTTATCAGCATATTGATTTACTGTTATTTTTGGCAGAGTTTTTCTTTTGCCATGGGCTTCATGAATGAAAGAAAGGAGCCTTTCTATAAGGTTCTTTTTTCTGGTGAAGCTTCAGGAAGGATCACTCTGTGGCATGTTCCTGATGTCCCTGTGTCAACATTTGATGGTTCTCCAAAAGGTTTGACAAATCTGTGCCCTTGATACCCTATTTTAATTATGTCTTTAAGTCAATTTTCATTAAAACTAAAATTCTCATGAAAATACTTTCACACTAGGAAGTGAGGCTCATTTACTCATTGTGTGATGATTGCCTGGAGTTAGAAAGAGCATGACACTAACAAAGATGGGTGTCTAGAAATTCTTCACAGAACAGAGAGGGTTTCAGTTTCCTTGCTGTCTGCCCAAAAGTGCTTCTCCATCAAGTGTCATGAAAAGTTACTTGGTTGCTCTTGCTTACAGCTCTTCATAGGGAGGTATAAGAGAAGGGGCTTTGTGAGATGTGATCTACTGTTGGAATAGCAACTACTGACTTTCCATCCCAAGGCTGCAGAAAGGATCAGTTGGGAGAAGGGATGAAGAGACAAAAAATCTGTGTTTTGCTTTGTTTAGATTTTTATTTTGGTTTGAATAAAAAAAATAAATCCCTGACTCTCTTCTCACACCCTTTAGAGATCCCAGTTACAGCAACGTGGAGTCTTCAGGATAATTTTGATAAACACCATTCAAAGTCAGAGGGCATTATTGATCATCTCTGTGCATCTAAAGATGGAATCGAAAGTGCAGTTGTCAGTTCCTCTGTATATATACCCAGTCTTGATAAACTTGTGTGTGGATGTGAAAATGGGAAAATTTTTGTAACACTAGGTTTAAACACTGCAAGAGCACGACTTTTGGAAAACATGTCTTCGAAAGGTAAGGTACAACAATTTTGTTCAAATTAATCTCAGGCACAGATGACTGTCTAATTCTGACGTCCCCTCAAGTGAACCCTGTAAAAATTCTCTGAAAAATAGGAGTGATAGTCAGGGGTTGAATGAGGAAAATGAAAGATTAGGATGTTCTTTTCCCCTTTAACTGATCTATTAGATCACAGCTTAGTACTACTAAGGTGCTTTGCTCTGTTAGGAGTCCTGGAATGGCGGTGGGGATGGAATCACCTGGAAGTGAGATTCGTGGAACAACTACTGCCCATATCATGACATCTTTGTCTTTTTCCCCTCTAAAAGATTATTCTGCTGAAGGAATAAAAAGGGTACATATTGGTAATAAAGTTCAGAGTGCAGACTGTTGTCCTTATTTTAAGAACATGTCCAAAATTCTTTGATCCCATGTAAAGGGTTATTGTATTTAGTCTTTTGAATCTCCTGACATTTTATGATATGTACTATAAAATATACAACTGTTCTTAAAGAACAGACATAATTTATACATCACCTTGTTTCAGATAATCTACCTTATAAGGTTCTGAATGGTCATCGTAGCAGAGTCACTTGTTTACTTTATCCACATAATAAATCAGTAAGATTTGATCCAAGCTGGCTGCTATCAGGGGGCCAGGATTCTGTTGTGATCTGCTGGGATATATTTACTGGAGGCATCTTACACCAATTTAGTCTGCAAGCTGGTCCAGTGACAGAGCTTTTGCGGTCTCCAGAAAACTATAAAGTAAGTAAAAGTCTAATAAATTATGTCTCAAAGAAAAAAAAAAAAAAAGTATCTCTTGGGGTGTGTGTATATATATGTGTGTGTGTATATATATGTGTGTGTGTATATATATAAAAAAGAGAAAAAATGATCTGGCAATCCTTTTATCCTTCAGCACTCTATCCTTAATTTACATTTCATTAATTGTCTCTTTTGAAAGTTGCTTTTAGTTTCAGGGGGTTGATTTCTTACAAGTTTAAATTCTGTGATTCAGAAAAATGATCCCAAACCTGTGACATAGTAAATTGAATCTCTTTACATTTTAGTTCCAGTTCTTAATATCCTGATTATCAGTCTATATGTTATTCTGATTATGTTCTAGCTTTTGAAGTTTAAAAGTGTAATCAGTAAAGCTGGGGGTTTGAGCATAGTGAGGAAAGATTTGGACCAATAGTATTTTAGTCTAAATATGTATGATAGACTTTGGTTGCTGACACATCCTTGTGGTCCTTTGCATATATGCTTACTGTAGTGAACACTCTACAAAATTTTGTGGAACAAATTCTGTCCCCATTGTATTCCATGGGATCAGAATTTCATCTTTTTCCTCTTAGCCTGTGAAGACATATTTGGTACTTAAGGTTGACTCAGAGTTCACTTACATGCCAACATAAGTAGTTCACAAGATGTTTTGCAATGGTATAATTCCTTAGTGTTTGTAATGCTTCCTTTAGCTTTTTTTCTGGAAACTAGGTAGGATTTAATGCCTCCTTGGGTGGTGTTTCAATTTGCTTTACAGGGATGAATCTTTAGGGTGAATTCCTTTGCGTGTCACCAAAAATTACTTGCAGGAATGGAAAGGAAGGCTTTGCAGAATCAGATCCATGTGGTGTGAAAAGAAATCGTAACCTACCCAATTTTTCATTAGAAATACATTGCTCTTGGCTTTTGTGTCGTAAGACCTGACATTTTGTTACATGAACAGCAGTTTGGTTTAAGGTAACTTTTTAATACCTTCTCTTCTAGAACTACTACTGTATATTTGGTTATATGATCACTGCTTTGACAGGCGAAGTATTATGAATAAGTAGTATTTAAATTCTCCTTTTTTTTTTTTTTTTTTTTTTTTTTTATTTAAATTGCTGTGTTAATTGAAATATCAGGGGAGATTGTATGTTTTCCTGTCAGGAGATCAGTCGTATGTTTAGCCTGTTAAAAAGAAGTTGGAGATATAGGCTGAAATAAACCATCATTTTCTATAATTAGTACATTCTGGGAAAGAAATCACTGGGCAACTTGTATGAGGCTTCTTAAAATGATGTGGCTATGACTGGTTATATTGTTGAAACTGAAATTCTTTCTATTTTACAGTTAAAAGACCATGGTATAGTGTGTTGTGTGTGCAGTGATCACTCTGTAGCAATTCTAGACCTTCAGAAGAGAGTATGTCTCTTACACGCCAGAAAGCATCTGTTTCCTGTGAAGAAGATAAAATTTGACCCTGTTGAAAATCTGATAATTGTTGGATGTGAAGACAATTCAGTTTATATTTGGGAAATTGAAACAGGTAATAACACAGAGGGATTTTTTTGTTTGCTTTCCTCAAGTTGTGTTTGTCATGTGGTGTTATACAAACCTAATTTATAAAACACCAAAGCAGAAATCCACCCCATTGAATATATAGTTTATGTAAACAAGCAAGAAATAAAATCCTTGTATAGTTCAAGGTATGTCATTAATAAAATGCAGCACAAGCTTAATTCAGATCCTGGCAATCAGATGATTAGTTGCCATAGCAGTGAATTGAGTAGAATATTTCTGGAAGCTATAAATGACATGTTGCTCTCTTCAGTTACTAGAATTAAATTTTTAGTCCTAACAATCCAAATTAGAAGACAAAGTTCTACTTTCTTCAGCAAAATTATAATCTGAGAAACCTTTTGAGTTGATTGATAATCAGTTAATAATGGAAGATAATTGCAAAGCTTACAACTGTGTAGTAGGGAAAACTGGGTGTTGCAAGTTAAATTGTAGATTCCCAGGTGCTTTGAGAGTGTAGCGCTGAGTCACAAGGGTAATAAATGTAGTTGCTTGAACTTTGACAGACAGAACTTCTAGAAGCTGTGATGGTACTAGACATTATAATGTAGTGTTTTCATGTGATTCAGCTGTGTCCTGGGAGGGAGGAGTATAGAACTGCTGAAATGCACAGCATGAAAACACAGTTTTACTAATGTAACTCTGAGATCACAATTTACTTCGCAAGTTATTACAACATACTGTCTAGGTTGTCTGCTTGGGACAAAGAAGTCCCTTGGTTTAAAGTACAAAATATCTGCACTTAATGAAGGACTTGTCAAAATGAGTACAGCATAAATTACAAGCCTATTTTGTTAGCAAGCTATTTAATACTATTAAACTGGTATAGGAAATGCCAGTACTTGTTTTTCCCCAAATGTACTGAGTTGCTGCTTTATATAAAAAGGTTTAGAATAAAATGAGATTGAACTAACAATTTTAGTTTTTAAAAAAAAAAAGTGGGTTTATACTAATGTGTGGGTTTTTTTAGAGCTAGTAACAAATATGAAGTTCTCGCTTTTGCATTGCATTTTGAGATTTAAAAATTCTTTTAATCTCTTTGTTCAAAACCACATATAAAAGAAGGTGCAACTGATGTATGCAGTGTTGTACTTATATTTCTTTGCTGTCTTACTGTTGCTTAGTATGATAGGTTTGCTTAGAATTTTAGCTTTAGTTGCACTGTTGGGAAAAACAATACAAGGTCAAATTTTCAAAAGTAATTATTAGACTGTGAGTTAAGGTACTTTAAACTTGTTATCTTGTTTTTATTAGTTGTTGTTTCCAGCATAGCTTTGAATTCTGTTTTCTGGTAAATATTTATCATCCTTCTTATGTGTGTTCTGGTATTTATGTACATGCATGATGTTTTCAGTGCATTTTCTCCAGTAAGAAGAGGGCATGGGTTCTACCCTTCTATTCAATCCTCAGTCCTGGAGGGTTTGTGGAATGGTTCTGTCTTGGGAGTTTTCTTCCTGTCCTCTTGTTCCTTTAATCTCTTCATTTTACTAGTGCCTATCAGCACATCTGCAATATTTCAAACTGCTACTTTCTTCTCCTCTTTCCTCCTCCCTCTAAAGGAAGAATGCTTCCTCTCCAATGTGTTCTTTTCTATTCCTGAAGGTATTACTAGATCTCATGATTATTTCCCCCTCTGTAATGGTGTCATGCACTTTTTGTATGCAAATAGTATTTCTGTTAAGAATATAAGGTGTTATACTATTATATCTGCCCCTATATATCCTATATGTATATCTGCCTCTATGTGTGCTATATATCTGCCCCTTTACTGAAAAGCAAAAACGTGAAATTAATTTGATTCTTATTGCCTACCTGCTTGCTTTGTAGTAATTGCCAGAAAGTCACCTTTACTAGTGGTAAAGTATTAAAGGCAGGATGGAAAAATATTATACTAGATCCCTGTGGTAACTAAGGGAAATGAGAGCAGGCATCTAAATGTTCAGCAATCATTAACAAATACACATATTTTTATGGAGAAGCTTGTAAAGGTGCTACCAGTTTTCAGCTTTCTGTCTACATTTTCAATGTTCTTTTAAAACTAGTGTTGAAAACAGTTGAGGAATTTAGTTGTGGGAAATCTTGATATTGAATGATTTATTTTACAGCTAAAAGGGATAGTTCTCAAAAACATGTAACCATAGGTAGGCTGTTTCCTAAGTACAGATCAATTTGAGAGTGCGACATCCCTGAAGGTCATTGTACTTACATGTTAGTTAGCATTTCTAGTGGAGTCATTTTTGATCAAAGAATTATCATGCATTTGAAACTCTGCAATAAAACTGAACACATAAGTGAAATAAGGGACAAACAGAATATTTTGTTTCCTTATAAATCTGTTGTCATAGCTGTAATTTTAAACTGATTTTCATCAGTTATTTTCTATCAGAACTTAATCACTTTGTTTAAAAAAGGAAATAGATGAGCTACTGAAGTTTTAAAACAGACTAGAGCATGTAATGATTATTTTTCATATGTACTTTTACAATATGTTTGTCATGGATCCATCATAGTCTGTGCTGTTGTTGTGTTTGTAGAGTACAGTGCAAGAGCTCCTCAGATGCTCCTGTGATGTGAATTAAGGTTAAAGCTCACAAGGTGTCAAGACTTCATATGCATTTTGAAAAGACATTAGATTCTAAGGGGACTGAGACCACACAGAATGTCAATGCAATGCTTTATATCCATCTTAAAAAAAAAACAAAACCAAAAAGAAATGGAAAACCCCCACCCAAACTTCAAGCCAAAATACCTTGCTAATGATATGAGAGTATAATTTAATTCATCATTGCACAAAAATCAAATTTAGAAGTTGAATTAGCCAAGCTTATTTCTAGAGCTGTGGAGGCATCATGGAGAAATACACTACTTCATATCAAGGGATATCTTTAGTAGGACTTATGTGCACTAGTGTCTGCAGGAGGATAGCGGTTCACAACAGGATTGTTCTTGTGCACTAAGGGGGCTTATGTCGTGTACTTTCACACTTTTAAGATAAACATAATATCTTTTTCTTTGGTCTAGATATTTTGTATAAAATGTGTATTCTGGTAAAAAAGTTAAAGGTTTAAATATATCGACATCTAAAACAAAACAATTGTGCAAGTTCTCAGCTTTTTCCTTGGTCAGCCTTTCGTTATTACTTCAGGAATGTGTATTATTAACTAGAAATAGCACTGACAGGTTACAAGTATTCTGAACTTCTGGGGCTAAGTAAATAATTGCTAAATAATTCACTCTGTCATTTTCAAACTGAAACTTTTGGCTGTTGATTTAAAGAACTATCTCTGTAGAAAAGGTAGTTCCATATGTGGTGGCTTTGAATTAACTCTTGAAAATGGGGATACTTTAATCACCACATGTCCTGGGTTCAGCTGAACCCAGGACACCACAGTATGGTGCAATGAGGTTCTTCAGTTAAACAATCATTTCATTCCCAGATTTCCAGAAGGTAAATATTGTGGAGTAAATTCAGAGCTGCTGCATGTGCTTAACAATATGGAAGATGATTTTGACTCATTAATTCTATAGAGATGCAAATTCCTGCACTCAACAATGTAAAAACTGATAGTTTCTATCACCATACAATGCCCAAGGCAGTCTAAACAATGGCTTGGAGACAAAATTACGTCTTTAATGCAAGTTTATCTAGTACAGCTAGAAAACTTTGCACTAAAGTATAGTGAGTTCTTTATACATCAGTGAAATTTAATAGTGTAGGATTGCAATGGTACCACAGAGACAAAGATTAGGGTATATTTTAACTGTCAGCTGAAAAATGCTGTCTAATTCAAAGTTAGAGGAATTAAAATTGATACCACTGTTCATATTTATTGCATACTCAGAAAAGGTGCAGTTAGTTAAAAGTTTGGTTTTTAATTGCTGTTCCTGTATCTTCTGTTATTCCTATCAAGGAAGAATAAGAGCTACAATCACCACCTCTTAAGGAAAACAGCCGGAACACAAGAAAGGATGGAGTTGTTTGCTACATTAGTAATTAACAAATTCTTTTGGGTGTTCCAGTCAGGCATTGGTGACTAAAAAATGCCATCTAGGGTGAATACCTGGGAAAGCCCACTAGGATGTAGTGTAGTTGGTTTAATGTTGAATTATATTTGTACTGCAAGAGAACACAAGAGGTCATGGCATCGATCCTTGAAATTGGCCTGACCCGGATCAAGAGCTATGTAGATACTTTGTCTGCCTGAGTGGCACTGAAGTATTGTTCAGATGTACGGGAAAGCTGTACACAGCATCACAGACAAATCTCTCCAGAAATGCACAGCAGCTTTTCATCATGAATTTCATCTCTTGACAAGTGAACAGGCAGCTGTGCATAGTACCACTTGCTTATACCTGTGAGCATGTTCCCTGACTGTTAACCAGATTAAAATCTAGTGGTATCCTTGTGCTTGGATTCCATTATGGAAAGGGACATAATATAAAATTCTGTTGTTTCTATAGTCAAAAAGAGTTTTTCATTGTTTTCCTTCTGGCTATGTAGTCTTTAAGAGGAAAGGGGAGGACCTGATTTTGTCAGACTTGTATCACTGCAGTTTAAAACAAAAAAAATTAGAACAGTGTTACTGTACTAGAGTTAATGGACAACTGGGAAAACAGCCAGTCTGCTTATAATTTCAGGCTGTGGGTTCAACAATTTCCATGAATATTTCAATATTTACGCTGCTGTAGAGTCAGCAATAATTCTGTTGAATTTGACAGATGACTTTACAAAAGTTTAGGGCATCAAGTGCCTATGACTGCCTCTCAGTTATACCAATTTCGCTTCAAAACTGTTCTTCCATCAGGTAATTAGGAGGCTGATCCCTTCAGCAGATGAAGGACTCCACTATGCATAACAGTTCATCGTCCAATTTTCTGTGACAGAAGCTGACATACTTTTTCAAAAAACATTCTGAACTTTTAAAAATGTTTGTCTTTTAGCAGGCTTTCATAATAGGTTTTTTTACA